AGAGAGAGAGAGAGAAAGAGGGAGGGCCAGGGAGAAGTCGGAAGACAGGGAGAGAGGAAGGGGGGACGAACAGAGAGTGAGTACACATTCCGATAGAATGAAGGACTTGTACAAGGTGGAACTAGTAGGTTGCGGATCCGAGAGTCCAAAAAGCCGGCAAGGCAATTCCCATTCTCCGAAGCCTTGGTGGGAGTAGGAAAACTGTGTAAATGTGAGTTGAGCCCCCAGGTCCGGGAGGATGTGGTCCAACCATATAGGGATTGAGCTCCGAGATGCTTCTGACGACGGCTCCTAAACCGAAACTTGGTGCGAACTCTCCACACCTAGACGCATCAACATGGCCCAGGCACGCTTTCTAACGTTTGGGGTAACTAGGCATTTCAACATGAATGTGGCATCCGGCTGCACATCTTGCGCCTTCTAGCATGCATTCAAATCACGGCAGCTCAATCCTACGAACTAGCACGTCTTGAGCTGAAGCTATAAGCCTCGTAGTTTAAGACATTAAATATAAGCGGACATCCATTTCCCGTTCGATTCCCCTTGGACTTGCCACCAAGATTATGGCCCACAAATCCCATCAGAAAGAAGCGCCACGTGTTCTCACGGATAAGGGGTTTGGGGTTTAGGGTGCACCGCCACGAACTCTAAACTGTAGCAGATCGCATGCTTGATCTCGCAGATGCAAGTCAGCTCGAGGCTTCAAGTCAGCGACTGTTGTACACGAGATACGAGAACCGTCAAGACACAACACATAACTTAGTCTGCAAGGTTGCAGAAAGATAGTTGCCGTAGTAACGAACATCATCAGCGATAAAGGACGCTGAAACTGATCCCAAAACCTCAGCGGTGAAAAACTCCAACCGTCAATCTCGGGCAAGCCGAGCCATATACATTCTATCGCCACACCTGAACCCTAAACACTACAAGCCCTTGGCTCTAAGCCCTAAGCCCAGACGGCGTAAAACTCACTATCTCCTGTACCATGACTGTCTTGGTTGGCTCTATGCCTGAATCACGGTCACCAAGTCTCAACTCCAAATCCTCGAACACCAAAGATCCCGGAGCCCTATACCCTAAGCTACATTCTATAGAGGCCTTAGCACTTAGACCAGGTTTGTATGGCATGTTCTAGTGTAATTATGACAAGGAACCCCAAAGGTTGCTGTTAGAATTTTAGAGTTTAGGGTTTAGGGGCCCCAAAATACGAAACCAAGCTCTCTGTGAGATGATACCATCGCCGTTGAGAGGCTCCACTTTCGGCTCTTGCCGCTTTGAGTCTAGGGATTTTTTGGTTTTGGGCTTGGGTTTCAGGGTTTGGAGTCTAAGGCTTTGAGCTTCGGGCTTAGGATAGAGGGTTTGGGTTCAGGGGGGTTTTGGGTTCATTGAATCGTTTGGGGTGCTGGGTTCCTTTTCTGGATACTTCTCAACAAGACCCTTCGATTTGGGGTCTTCTATCAGGGTCCCTTGCTTTCTTCAAGGCGGGAGGGTAACAGTCCGGACGCCCATGTGTTCCAGGGCTTAGATTTCAAGCACACCTATGGTTTACGTAAGGTTGAGGAGTTACAGTTTAGATTTCTGGTCTTGATTTAGTATAAACAAACTTAAAGAAATGGGCTCCGAAACGTCATTGCTTCAGAGTCGCTCCTCAATCAGCCTGTCCTCCGGCATAGCCTGTGGCAACCCACGCAAAAGCCATAGGTCCTGGCTCAAAGCTGTTGCGGTGCAGCGCTTGTGGAGAATGAAGACGACTAGATTCAAACCCTCACGCATCTTCCCATAACCAACTGCGAAAGCCTAAGACTCACACATAGGAGCGAACTGTGTGCTCCGCGCTTCAAAGCCAACGGCAGGCGGGGCTTTAAGTCAGGCGTATGGGGCCCAAGATAGGGGTCTTGATGATTCGAATTGGCTTTTGGGGGGGTATCTTATACTACAATGAGGGACATTGGAAATGAGACTAGTGAGCTTTCAGGCTCCAATATTACATGACTAAACCTTAAAGGTTTGTCAGGTTTAAGTTTAAGCTCAAGCATTCCTAGACCCTCCATCTACCCTCTATTAGACCCTAAATACCCTTATTTTGGGACCATCTACCCCTACTTGAGCGTACTTGGAGGGTCCTGGTTTGTTCAGCCGAAGGATTTAAGGCTCCGGGCGCATTTAGATGCTTCGATGCCCAAAAGCCCGGAGGCCGGACGCCTAAATCCTTTAAGCCCAAATCCGAACCCTACCTATAGTCTCCATGGTAGTTCCTTTTTTGGGGATACCTTATAAAATCCTTCATAATATGAAGGATTTGTATATTATGCAATTTGGTTAAACCAAAAAAAGGAACTACAGTGGAGACTACAGGTAAGCTCCAAACCCCCAAACCCCACGTCCGGAAATAAGCCACAAGACCCCTAGTAGACAACCTGATTCAAACTCTAAACATTTTATAGGGTAAAAAAAATTTCCCCTATAATATGTTTAGTGCCCTAGTAGACAACCTGGGACTAACTCCCTGAGCCCCTGAAGTCTGAGGAACCTGAGACACAATGCCCGGATACATGCGTGCCAAATGCTGACAAGGTAGCTGGGTCTGTAAATCCTGCGTGCATCTTCTCCGCCAAAGCCCGTCCGCAGCTTCGCGGATTTAACAGCCTTCAGCTGCGGGGATCACCCTGTCATATGGGTAGTTCTCTAAATTAGGGTCCCTTTTGGGGTCCTTTTTATAAGGGTGCCGTACTATAATGGGGACTTAAAAGGGACCCTAATTTAAAGAACTACCCATATCTGACTCTCGTCGCGAAGAAAAACAAACATGAGCTCTCCTTGAACGACTTGGGCAACGAGGGAGCAAAAACAGTTTGGAACCCTAAACCCTAAACTCTAAAGTAGGAGCCTTAATAATTAGGGTAGGGTTTTGGGTCATAAGATACTATATTTATAATAAGGAGCCCCCCAAAATAATATCGGTAATTATTTAGGCCCCTAGATTCTCGTATTTGGGCGGGCTCTTGTTCGTCTTCAACTTCGTGTCCCTATGTTGGCTCCAGATTTTCTGACAGTCTCGTCTCGGTTTCCCTAAACCCTAAACCCTAAACCGCTAAACCCAAACTCTGGCATTTCGGGATCGGGATTTAGGGATTACCAAGATCCGAGCTTGCGGGATGGAACGGTTTAGGGTTTAGGGTTTAGGGTAACCATGACCCTCTTTACACATGGGTAGAGGGTTTAGGGCTTCTAGGGTTTAGGGTCTAGGGCGTAGGGCTTAGGGTCTGGTGTCAGTCTGCCTAAACCCGAAACCCTAAGCCCCAAACCGAGATTCTGCAGTCGTAGGCAGCAAGAAAAGTCCTGTCAACGAACTCAACTTATATCTAAGTTGCCACTATAACGAACCATATTACTCTCTGTAAATCCCTATGATGGTAACTTGAATAAAATTCCTTAACAAAAGCCAAGACAAGCCCTTCTGGTCAAGAGGGATAAGGCTGAGAATATGTGATTTGTGGGCTTCAGGGTTCAGGGACTACGGTTCAGAGTCATCTATAGTCTGTGCAGCAGCGATGGTACCGAGCACAAGCGGGGGCAGTATCAAAGACTCAACCCGCTCCAGGCGCACCTACCAGAGAAGGACTAGCTTAAATTTCACTCACCACAACAAACAAACGACTTGAGCATTCCCTGAGATGCCAAACCCTAAAAGCAGTTGTAGCACCCTGGAATGCGCCCTGAAATAACCCGTAAAGGAACGCCAATGCCAGGAACTCCTACACGCAACCCGTGAAGAACCCGTCAGGAACCCATCCTTCACGGTTGAAGGAACTCTCATAGAGCCCTGAAGCCCTCATAGGGACCCTTAGAGGGACCTTTTTGGATCCTTTAAAGGAACTCTTACGAGTTTAGAATACTGGTTTGGGGTATGTTTTGGTATAATAAGAAGATCATGCCTTAGGCTGCCTTCATCTGTAGCCGGTCTATACTATACAATACCAAGCCTAAAAAAAGGGGTCTTAATAATAAGAATAGGGTTTTTTCGGGTGGTATATTATACTCTTTCTCTTTTCATCGGGAACCACCAAAATAATTTAGGTAATGATTAAGGCCCCGAGATTAGAATTCGAACCCCGGGAACCGCATCATAGGCGCTGCGACTCCGCTTCGGAGCGTCGACGGTGCGGGGTGCAGGCAGGAGCTACCAGGACACGCGGCTTAGGGGGTTTAGGGTTCAGGGTCTAGGCGGTTTAGGTTTTAGGGGTTTAGGGCTTATCTTGATCTCGAGGATTACTAGGAAGTCAGGGCTTTCGGACGGTTGCAGGAGTTTAGGGTTTAGGGTTTAGGGTTTAGGGTTTAGGGTAGGAGTTTGGAGTGGCTGAGTGAGTGTTGGCTTTCGCGCGCAGAGTGGGCGCAAGTAACTTACCACGCAGTACCTGGAGCAAACTCAGGCGGCCACGGCATGCGGAGGTTCTTTAAACCCTAAACCCAAAGGGTCCAATGACCATTATAGTAGGTACTTAGTAGGTATTTAGGCCCCAAAAGTATATACTATACTGGACCCTAAACCCTAAACCCTAAACCCTTTGGGAAACACCTAGGAGGCTTCTTGATTTTTGCCAGGTACCTTATGCCATGTTTCGAGATCCCCATCCGTAGTACCGGACCCTGTTATTTCATATAGGGGGCCATGAAAATTTGATACTCAAAAGGGTGCCCCGGGGTCTATAAGGATGACCATTTGTACGGCTATTTAGTACTTATTCCCACCTTTTTATCTCTTAAGCGCCCTTAGAACCAAAATTAAACCTGTAGGTTCAACAGCCCCTTGAAGCTTTATTTTTACAAAATCATGCATAGCTCTCAGATCACTAAGCTAGGCCTATCAATGGCCTTTGAGTTTCCGGCTGAGGCTTTTTCGTCAAGCTGGGCTCCAATTCCTAAACTGTGCACCTCATGTGCTCGGCATTGCCTGTCGAATTTTTGGAGCTTATGGCTTTTAGGCTATCATTTGGGGCTTTAGGATTTCGGATGTAGCTCTAAAGCACCCCGAAGCCGAGCTTCGGGCTTTTCGCGTTTTCGGGCCTAACTTTATGGCAGAGGTACCCTTCAGAAGTAGAATATAGTCTGTGGCACGGGGTATACTATGCTGTATTTATGTTGTATTATAATAACAACCCCCCGTCCGCAGCCCAATAAAGATTACTACCCTGAACCCTAAACCTAAAACGAGGTGAGCCTCTAACTAGCTCCGCCTCTGAGCAGGAACGGGGCCCTCAGTACAAGTGCCAAGTGCTACCATATGTCCACTAACTATCAGGGTTGCTATGGGGCTTACTATGAGGATGACAAAATTGCTACATATACTGGCAGTATCAAAGCCATGGATTGGCTTTGCGGATCACGAAGGGATTGGCTAGGGTTTACAAAGAGGGTTTGGGTTTAGGGTTGTCGGGTTGTTCAGCATGCATCGCATAGAATTGCAAACTCCCCCCCCCCACCAGACTTTCGAGCTTTGATAAACCCCAACAAATTGCCACACGGCAATTGCCGTTAACCCAGGCAACTTGTTATGCATGCAAGCGTTTGGGGTTAGGATTCAGGATTGAGGGCTCACGGGTCTAGGGAAGATAGGGGAACCGGTGCATTTTTGGGGGTTTGAACAGGCGGCACTATGTCATCTGTAGCGAAGTATGGGTTTTGGCGTTAAGCAACGGCTCTTCACACATAGTGCATTCAGCAAAGGTACCGGTGTCGGTATAAGCTGCAAGAAAATCTAATGCCCCTATATACGAACGGCACTAAGTACTTACTTACTCGCCTTACTTAAACAAAACCCTAAGGCCCTAAGCAACACTTGTAGGGCAGAGTCTTGGCTCTGGTGGGTTTCAGGCCACCATTATGCTACTGTCTAGGCCCATGCCTGTGACACTTTCCGAACTTAACCCTGCAGAACATAACAGCAAGTTCTAATAAGCCTCTCGCAATTATTAGATGTATACACAGGTGGTATGGCAGGTGGTATGGCCAGGTGGATGCGTCAAACACCATAATATTGACCTACATGTTGTGATCCCAAGTCTGTTCTGAAACAGGCATCACTCTCAGGTTTACAAACTCCTATCGCCGCTCCCAGCCGGAAACTGATTCTGGAAGACCGCTAGCCGAAATTGTGAAATTGGACAGGTGCTGACTCTCCTGAAAATTAGCAACTCTTCCTGCCCTAGAAGGTTTAGGGTTTTTAGGGTTTAGGGTTTAGGGTTTAGGGTTTAGGGTTTAGGGTTTAGGGCTGCTTCAAAGCAACAGACTTTCAAGCGCAGGGTTGTTGGGCTGGGCCAGACGAAGCAACCCTGAGGATTCATCCCGGGTCCCGAAATGTGAGCTTTTCACGTCTCCGTCTCGCGTGTCAGCGTCCACGAGGCCCGCGTGCCTTTCGCAACGGACCTCGCTCCAGCACAATGAGGACTCAGAATCTGGGTGCTTCCGGCTTCTCATGTACGCTGTAGGCTACCGAACCTCTGGATTGTGGGCCTTTCTGCTTGGCAAGGTGGGGACTTCACCTTGACCGTTGGGAAGAGACAAGATGCGCGATGAAAGCGACAACTCTGAAAAGAGTAGGAGCTTGACGATGCCATGCGGTACATCGGATCAAAGAGCAACGACTTGCTGAACAGAAGATTCTGCTGCTGCTGCTCCTACTCCAACCCCTACCCCTACTCCTACTCCTAC